GCTGTTTTCTAAATGATCATTTTTCTTTTTTTCTGTCTTTCAAAGACCAGCATGTTATGCTAAAATTGTTCAGAAGACTAATACAATCATTTGATGAACAAACACATTAGAATGCAAAAGAGAGTGGGCTGGGAGGAATATAAAGTAGATCTCAGCTGCAAAGTTAGTTTTGCTGTCCTTTAAAAGTGTTTATAATATTAGAAAGAAACAGACATGAATCCACAAGGCCATTTCTATAGACTTTTGCCAATCCCAACATCTGAATGTCATGCTAGCTTTGATGATGGAAAAGCAGGCAGTGAAAATGAATCAGCATCATATAATTCAGCACTTATCTTTAGAGATAAACTGAAGATAACAAAATGTATTATGTTGTTATACAGGAAAGAAAATCATGATCATTACAAATATTGCAAGTGATTGTTCAAATTCAAAAAGCATTGATTACTTAAAATTTTATTAATTTTCTGTTGCTATTCTGATTAAACTGAACATAATGGCTTCACATAGGCAATCACTTTAGAGAGCTATTATAATTTTCATATTTTCTTACTTAAATATTCACAATGAAAATTGATCCATGTTTTGAAGTTCTACAGAGTTTCAGGTCTACAATCAAGTTTTTAATGATAAAACAAATTCGTATAATTTGTAAAGCATTTTATTTCATCTTAGAAGTTGGAACTCAAAACATCATCATTCCTCCAAAGAATGGTATTTATCATGATGAATTTTGCATGTTCCTTAGTAAGAACATCATGTTCTAATTTCTTATAAACTATTAGTTTGTCACTAAATTTTGTCCTGACAGTATTTATTGCTGTCTATTATTACAATTCACCTTTGAATATACACTGAGTCTGTTGTGCACTGCAAACAACTAATACACAAAAACTAGTAACAGTAACTTGTGTCAATGGAAGATCAAGGAATTGGGTATCTGGCTTACTGATTTTTCTAGATAAGAAAGATGGACACATACAACCGAACGGACACTTTAAGTAACATCTATTCATCTATCCATATAGAAAATATAATTTATTCTTCCTTTGAGACCTAACAGTATTTCAAACTTTAAGCCTTAACCACTTCTCTTGGACTAATGATAAATATGTGAAAGAAATTGTGTGGAGTTATACCGTTTTCAAGGCGTTCTTAGGGAGTTGCTTTATTTTTCTTCTTATAAGGACTTGATAAGACTTAATTTTCATTAACTTTTTAATCCTGAAGTTGGAAGGTAGGAAAAAAATCTGGTGAAAGGTAATGTGAATGAAATAGTTGTATCTTAAAATTGTTTGAGTTGATAATGAAGACTGAGAATACAAATGAAGCTCCTTAAATATCAAGAAACAGACTCAATACGAGGAAAGTACTTTTAATTTGAATCCCACCAAATCGATGGTAATTTCCATGAAAATTTAAAGCCATCTGTCACTTTGAGTTCCCTGGTTGAAATTTTCTTATGCTTCTGTCATGGTTTACTGTCTCAGTAAGCCTTTTGTCAGAAGAATGTCCTACGATTTTCAACAGGGTATTTTCAACAAAACCCCTGCTATTTAGACTAGAGGTTATATTTTGGAAGAATATTACAAGGAAAAATAGACTAAAGAAATAAGTGGCATCAACAAAAGTTTCCAGAGACATTTAAAGTATTAACATTTACTAAAATAACTTATTGAACATATGTATGTGTGTGTGTGTGTGTGTGTGTGTGTGTGCTGGAAAGTAGAATTATACAGAGTTAAAAGTATTGCCTCTGATGCTAAGAGGCTACAGTTTGGATTTTACAACCATAACTAAAATCTGTGTGAATTTAGGTGACTTTCTATTTTTTTAGTTTGGGCCATCTCCTCTCTGACCCCCCACAGAACCTGTTCTGCCCTCTTGTTTTCTTTTGTCGAAGAAAAAACAGAAAAGATAATAAGAAAAACATGGCATTTTTGCAAGTTTGAGATAAGATAGCTATACAGAGAGATTCTTTGTGTTGCTTCCATGCATATGTGTATTACAACCCAAATTGGTTCATCACTACCAGACCTCTTCACTACTTCCTAGTCCCCTTCCCGTAGTAGCCTCTGCCAGTTTAAGATCACTATATTCACTCCTCTACAGTGAGCACATAAACCATATTCAAGTTTTAGATTTTCTTTCCTTTCCCTATTCGTCTTGTGTGCTTTCTCCCTTTAGTGTGTGACCCATGTCCAGTAATATTACTGCATTTATTTTAGGTCTATAATCCACACATGAAGGAGAGTATGTGATTTTTGACCTTCTGAGCCTGGCTAACTTTACTTAAGATGATTTCCTACAATTCCATTGATTTACCTGTGAATGGCAAAATTTCATTCTTCTTTGTGGCTGAATAAAATGCCATTGTATATAAATGCCACATTTTCTTAATCCATTAGTCGATAGTGGGGCATCTTGGCCATTTCCATAGCTTGGCTAGTGAATAGTGTTGCAATAAACATGGGTGTACAGGTGCCTTTGTAATAACCTGAGTCACATTCTTTTAGGTATTTCCCTACTTCAGTTATTGTTGGATTGTCTGGCAAATCTATGTTTAGTTTTTAAGAAGCCTCTCTATTGTTTTCCATAGTGGTTGTACTAGCTTACATTCCCACCAGCAGTGTATGAGGGTTCCTTTTTCCCCACATTCTTGCCATCATTTGTTGGTGGTGGTGTTCTTGATGGTAGCAATTCTGACAGGAATGAGGGGGAACTTTAGTGTGGTTTCGGTTTGCATTTTCTTTATGGCCAGAAATGATGAACATTTTTTCATGTGTTTTTTACCCATTTGAACTTCTTCCTTTGAAAAAGTTCTGTTTTGTTCAGTTGCCCATTTCTTTATTGGGTCATTGATTTTTGGGGAGCTTTGTTTTTTGAGCTTCATGTGTATTCTGGTTATCATTCCCTTGTCTGGTGTACAGCTAGCAAAGATTTTCTCCCATTTTGTGGGTGGCCTCTTCAATTTAGACACCATTTCTTTTGTTGTGCAGAAGATTTTTAATTTCCTGTAGTCCCATTTGTCAATCCTTTCTCTTAGTTGCTGAGTTGCTTGAGTTCTACTGAGGAAGTCATTGCCTATGCCTATTGCTTCCAGTGTATTCCCTGCTCTTTCCTGTACTAGCTTCAAGGTTTCAGGTCTGATATTAAGGTCCTTAATACTTAACCTCTCCTGTCTCAGTTTCCTCCCCTGGAAAATAAGGTAAATAGTTGTGCCTGCCTCTATGGATCTCTGTGAAGATCCAAACCAGAAAACTTCTGCATGGGTGAGAATACATGGTGAGGACTAAGTAAATTTTTATCTGGTCAGATTACCACTAATTTTTAGTGCCAAGACTGTTACTACAAGGCTGTCAATAGCACTCTGAACTTTAAACATTAGTTCTTCACTTTTTTATTCACTACATGTAAGGACCCCATTCTGAAAAAGATTGAAGCCTACATCTGATAATAGCCATATTCTAGCATCTTTTGAATCAGAAAATACATCATGACCAAAAGCCTAACTGTGTCACTTTATTGAACTTTTGATATGTGCCCCACATTTTATTCATTGGAATTATTTGGATATCACTTATGGTGCTAGGCAAAACCTTATGGTAAGACCATAATATAGAATCAGAGTTAGAATCAATATAGACTTTTTCAATGGTCTTAAAGGTAGGATAAGGAGATGTTTGGACAGTACATCATTATATTGCAGTTATCTTTCCAATAATTTCCTGACCTATTTAAACAAACTTTAGGTAGACTTTTCACAAAATTTATGTTGCTGATTCATGGCCAAGTGACTTTATTTCAGTTGTATTAGAGTTGATCAGCAATTTAAAAATATATTTTTATTTATTACATCCTATAGATTTACAAAGAAGAAGTAGTAGACAGAAATGCAGACAATAATCATAATCATATTCTATTAGGAAGATTTTCTGTCTAGTGAGTGTTGCTTTAATTTATCAACCAATTCCTTTAAGTGATTTTTTTCTGGTGTGCATATTATACTCATTTGTATCACTTTAAAACGTCTAATATTATCTCACATGTCCAATAAATTGAATGGACAAGGCTGGTCCTGCTTAACCGAAAGAAAAACTACTGTGCACTAACCCAGTATCTTCTTAAAACTACCTAGGTTGCCACAAGGAAGAGAGATACAGGAGAAGATGTTGTGCCTGTGAGTGGTAGCTGGGTACCAAGAGAGGCTGAGGAAGAGAAGGAAAAAAGGCAGTTCTTCATGCGAAGGGACTAATTTTTCTATCAGGAAGTGTGTAAAAATATATGAGAAGAGGAAAACTTGGAGAGGTAGCACTGACATGTCAGTGATGTATCACTAGAGCACAGGTGGAAAGGAGTTGAGTGCCACTATCCACCCTGTCTGTCACAGAGAGGCTCACTGATCTGAGAATGAACCTTTGACACTACCAGTACCATTTCAAACACAGCAAATCCTATGCATCCCCTTTCTCTGACACCCTCTTTCTAAGACCTGTTCCCAAGCTCAGTTGCTTGACCTCCTTGGCATCATGTTACAGCACCCTACATGGCAGGGTCAGGGCAGGCTGGGGTGTGGGGACAAGAGAAAAAGTGCAGGCTGGTAGCATGGAGAGGTGAATGTTCTGGCTGCTATCACTACTAAAATGTTGACTTTTTTTTATGGTTGTGTGTGTAAAACCATGAAATAAATAGCCGTCTTGTTAGTTGGCTTGTCTTGTTTTGTGGCCAATTTGGAGAGCCTAATCCTTCTCTTTGGAAGGTAATTTATTAGGTACAGTAAGTCTGAGGTAGGTCATTTCCAGAACATGCATTATGGTTCTCTGGATTTGGAAACTGCCTATCAAGATCCTTCAGATAAGAACCAAATTTTCTGGTATGTGGGATAAGCATCTTGGTCACCTTGTTGAATGCCAAGTTTGACTAATTTATATCACATAGGAATGGAACGAGCCTAATAGGGCTTACTTTAATTCAAGTTCTTATTTTCTCTTTCTTAACAGGTTCCTGGGCAGATCGATCACCACTACATGAAGCTGCAAGTCAAGGTCGCCTCCTTGCTCTGAGAACATTATTATCACAGGTAGAAAATATTACATATGACTTAAAATGCACACCTTTCAGATGAGCATAGAGCCTCGTCAAAACAAATCCCTTAAAAATAATAAAATTGCTTAAATTGTTCTACTACCTTTGAACTTTAACTCAGATCAGGCAAATCAACAGTTTTGATTTACCTTTGAAACTCTCTTTATAAATATTTTGGTATAAACCTGTCTTGTATTTTGAATTTCTCCGAGTATATTTATTCATTGATCCACATAGTTAGGCAGCTGGTAATTTGGTTTATGTACTATATATAAAGCATTCTAAATATGCTTAATTTCACACAATGTGTATGTTAATTACAGATTTACCTGAGTCACATAATATCCAAAAGGGAGTAATAGACTAGATGAAGAAACAGTCTATTTTCCATTACGGCAATCTGTGAAATGTTATGGGGAATTGCCTGTGAAGGCGATAAAATTCTCATTTCTGCGTTTGCTTGCTCTTCAGACTCAGAAAAAAAAAATATGAAACACAGATTCTTCCATGAAACAGAAAAAACTCTGGGCTGTGCATTTCATTTTTTAAGCTTTCTATCTGATTCAAACATACACCCAGTTCTGGAAGTCATTGCACTAATATTTGCCAGTATCAAGCAGAGGAATTTTCTCTGATGGTTATGAGAAAGGAAGGATCTTCTGTGTTTGAACAGTAGGCCTGGGACTCCAGGGACCTGGACCCTGGACTGGCACTGGAGGGGGCCCACTGTCTATCTGACTTCCATTTTCTCATCTGTAAAATAGAGATGAGCATGAGATATTTCCCTGGGGCTGTCCAGTTCTGTGACAGACATGTGACTCTTGCTCATCACTCGATGAGGGGAAAAAAAAATCCTTTAAAAAGGTCAGTAATTGCAAAGGGTAATTCCTTGGCTAGGGTTATGCAGTTCTTTGAGAAGAGAGTAGACCTGGGTATTGCTCAATGTGTATCTCCTCTCCACGGAACGGGCAGCCAAGAAGAGTGAGTGGCTCCCCCAGAGCCTCTGTGAAAGGGAACCTTGACCTTCTCAAACACTTGTGTCATCTGGTGTGCAGCAATCTGAGGGCAGATCTCCAAATCAGACTGCTGGCTAACAACTTGAAATATTTGAAGGGATAATTAAAGGATCTTAAAAATTTCCACTTACGAGTGAACAAGATTTGGTGTGCTTATCTATTTTTATCCTTTCATTTTATGATCCTTCTTATCCATTTTGGTGTTACAAATTATAATCTATAATATGTTGAAAGGTTTGTCCTTGAAATTCTTTTATTACAGTGCTTCACAATGAATCAATAATGATATTAAGAAAGCAAAGGATCATATCTTAATAATGTTTAACTATTTTGGTCTGATGTGGGTTTAATTGAAAAATAATTAGAAGTGTTTACTTAGTATTGAATGGATAACAAAATAAAATCTAACATTTTCTATATATTAGACACTGCAATCATTGTATTGCATGCATTATCTCACTTAAATCTTATAAGAACCCTAAAATGTTGAGGTTAAAGTATTTGCCCGAATTCCAATAGCTCTGTATAATGGAGCCAGGCTTTAAACCCAGGTCTAACTGACTTCTATAGTTGGAGTTCTTAACCCTTGCAAATAACTTAATCATAGCTATGTATTGACAGAAATTCACAAAGCAGTTCACTATGAAGTCCGCAATACTTTTCCATAGTCTGGACTCACCTGTAACTTTATAGCCCCAATCAAACAAAGTGATCCAGACTATAAACAGAGTTTAGCTCCACAAAAAAACAAATTAAAGAGTCCTCAAAAATTAATAAAGCAAAATTTTTAAAAAATGGGCCACAATCTATTGAACAAAATACTTAAGACATTATTAGGTTAAGGAAGGGTGGTACTAGAATAATGGGAGTTTTTTAAATTTAAGTTTTACACATTTATGGGGTACAATGTGACAAGTCAATACATATATGTGTATATATTTGTGTGTGTGCATATATATATATATATATATATATTAGTGTAATGATCAAACCAAGGTAGGTAATGTTTCCTACCATTTTTATTAACATTTATTAATTATACATATATTTATGAAACACAGTGTGATATTTTAATATCTGCATACACTGTGAACTGATCAGATCAGGCAATTAATATTTCCATCTCTCCAATTAATTTATGCCTAGAAACTTCCAGCTCCAAAGCAAATGAAATTAGCATATCAAAGAAATACCTGCACTCATGATTATTTCAGCACTATTCACAATAGCTAAGATATGGATCCAACCAAATATTCTTTATCCATGAATGCATAAAACAGTGGTGGTACATACACATAAGAATATTATTCAGTCATAAAAAGATTAATGTGTGGCCATTTTCAGCAAAATGGATGGAATTGCAGCATATCAAGTGAAATAATCCGGACACAGAAACACAAATACCACATGTAAAAAAGCTTTTTTAAAAAGTTGATCTGAATGTAAAATAGTGCTTACTTCTGGCTTAGAAGAGTTGGGGGAGAAGCTGTAAAATGGAGATCAAAACACAGAGAGAAGGGATAAGTTCTAGAGATCTAGAGCACAGTGGAATTAGATAGATCACAATAATCTAGAAGATGTACTACTGACTAGAAGACAGGGGCTGGGATTTTTGACAACTGACTGACTCCATGGCATTTGAGCTAGCCATTCCTGATGAACTGAAAACTGAACTGGTTCACCTGAGAGTCTTTGATCTTTAAAATACATCATTCTCAAATGATACTTATGGAGTTGACTTGATTATAATTTTTTGCTCACCTTTCAAAATTACTGATGTCATATTTAGGGTTATAATGTAAATGCAGTAACCATCGACCATGTCACCCCCTTGCATGAAGCCTGCCTGGGAGATCATGTGGCCTGTGCCAGAACTCTTCTGGAAGCTGGAGCTAATGTAAGCACACCTTTTGAAACACTAACAATTTCATATCTACTGACTAAGAGAATCAAACAAAGTTCTCATTTTGCCTTTCTTTCCTTTTTAATTGGTAGTATTCAAAAATAACGGAACAAATTTGAAGCCCTTGCCTCAGCCTTCTCATTGCACTCTAGAAAGGATTTCCATCCATTGTCTAAATAGGTAGTATGCTGCATAATAATATGGAGCATTCTTTGGTTATTTTCTGCTTTTATGACTCTAAATAGCAATAGATGAACATCTTACAGCTGTAGCTTTTGCTGATCTTTTAGATGGTTTTTCTTTAGATAAATTCTTAGGAACAGAATGACCAATTTTGCCAGTCTAAACAGCCAACAGCAATGTGGCTTCATCATAGTTTTTATTACCATCACATTATTTTCTTCCTGAAATTTACTTAATTGTTCAATTGATTGTTTTACACTTGAATATGGGTTTTTTCATAAATTTCGCTGGTAGTATTCCCATTCTATTGAATTATCTGCCACATCTTATTTCTATTTATTTCTTGATGTGTTAAAGCTTTTATTGATGTGTATGAACTAAACATACTTTGTCATATTTACTGCACACATTTTCTGAATTAACAGATTGCATAATTTTTGAAGATGCATTAGCTAATTCAGGTATTCATGTATGATTTATGAATCTTATTCTTAGATTTTGGGTTTGGTTTAGGTCAATGCAATCACGATAGATGGTGTGACTCCATTATTCAATGCATGCTCTCAAGGCAGTGCAAGCTGTACTGAACTCCTTTTGGAATATGGTGCCAAAGCCCAGCTGGAGTCCTGCCTTCCATCTCCCACACATGAGGCTGCTAGTAAAGGTGACTATTATGGAACTAAGTGAAAAGGGAAAAAGTACCTGGTTGTGCAGTACTTTATTTATCTTTTAATGAATTACATTTTAGGGAGGAGTATGGGTTGAGGTGCAAGTGTAGGGGGGAGTTCAGCATTAAATAAAAGTAATCTAATTGTTACTTTCTGTTGGCAGGTCATCATGAATGTCTCGACATATTGATATCCTGGGGCATAGACGTTGACCAAGACATTCCTCATTTGGGCACTCCTCTTTATGCAGCTTGTATGTCACAGCAATTTCATTGCATCTGGAAACTTCTTTATGCTGGTACTTTTCTTTAAAGTATCTTCCACTCTGTCTACAAATATAAGCAATTATTTACTTTAAGTTTCTTTAAAAATTATATATCACATTACTAAAAAACTTTGTTATTATAAATATTCTCACTTGTAAGTATATAACAAATAAAAGGAACCTCATTCTTGATGAGAACACTTCCAAATTCACAGATGAATATATATAATCTATATTTTGCTCACAAAGCATTAGCAAACATCTAGTAATATAATAGAATCTGAAAACCCTTTTTATAAAAGTTCATAAAATTGGGATCCTCAAGGTTGAATATAATATTACTAAATATGTATATCTCTGTGAACAAGTGTACCTAAAACATTTAGGGATAGTAAATGCTCGGATAATTTTATCTTCAAGCAACCACAAAAACTCATGTAGTTCCCCAGACTTTGTACTTTTTGTCCCACTTACTTAAAAAGGCTTACTTCCCTTCTCACATACATGAAATAAACTCAGTTCGTCAAGGCTCAGCTGTAGCCCTGTGACACTTTCTTAACCTATTGAGATGACAGTGATCTGTCCCCACTGTACCAGCTGCTCCTTTTAGGGTATGGATTGTACTTCCCTCTGCCCCCGGTCTCTTTTCTTTCCCTCTCATGTTAGTAAACTGAGAATGTGCATAAAATGAGAAAATGGATTTGTGTGAGATTTATTGTTTATGACAGTCATTTGACCACTAGTGTTATTCAGACATATGTATTTTGTAACACCTGTATGTGTTAGTGTTACTCACATTATCTTGGCTAAGCTATAAATTTTTTGCAAGCAGTGTATGTGTTAACTATTTCATTCTCACAATACCTAGAGTCTTAAGTATGAATTCTGGTAATAATTGTTGACAGATTATTATTTTCTAGCATGTTTTCCCCTAAATTTGGAATAAACAAAGAGTTTATGCTTCATTATCCTTTTTAATTTGGTAGGAATGTTAGTCATTCACCAAACATTTTATAAGGGGTTTAAAAAATACTGAAAAAGTGTTACTAGTAGTTGCTGGTAGATTGTTATTTTCAGGCCCAAGTCTCTTATAAAATTGACATAACCAACAAAGTTTATGATTTCTCTATGGAAATTTTACCACTGAATGTAATTTCTCTATTAAATGTTTTATATTTATTTTACAAATATTGAAAAATTACATTCATTGAAATTTGAAAGTAGCAGGAAGGCCATGAAGGAACTCTTAAAACGTACTGCTTCTTACTGATGTTGTTAATTTTACAAACAGTATCAGAAAATAGAGTTGAAAAGAACAAATGCATTTTTATTGGTAAACATTTCTTGATGTTATAATCATTTATTTCTTAGAGAATGGGCTAGTACTTTTTACAATATTAAATGGTATTTATTCATTGCACATCTATCAAATGACTGCTATGTTCCAGGTCTTGCACTAAGATAAAATAACCACGCAATTGGTAATTTTACATGTACGGTTGTGTTTTTTTAATGTAAGAATTTACTCAAATTTTACTTTGCTACCGATATCATTACTTTGCAGACATCATTGAAGTGTTTTTCCACTTGAGAGACTCAGTATCTTTCTAAAATCATTGATTGAAGATATGTGAGAGAAAAATAGCAGGAAGATGTATTTACATTTTACCTAAATGGTTCACATATCTACACTTGTGAGTTTTCTAAAAGACCAAAGAGCTTTATTGCCTCAAAGTGAAAAGAATAAAAGTAATAAGCTCTTGAATAACTCTAAGTACTATCATTTATGATGAAAATATGTATGTGTGAACTTACTCATGACCATAATACTAATTAGTATGATTACTTTTGGGGATCATTTAAAAATTTATATATCTCTTTGGGATCTCTCAAGCATACAGAAAAATATTTGAGAAGAATATAACACCTCCTTATCCACATATACGAAGTTTAAGATTTTTATATATGTAGTGTGTAGATATGAAAAGTATATAAAAGTATGCACATATTTGTAAAGAAATAACTAATTACAGATAGAGTTGAGATTCCCTTTGTATTTGTCTTCAATTTCCTTCCCATTCCTCCCCGTCACAGACTGATCTAATAATTTTTTATTGTATTTGTCTTCATTCCCTGTTTTCATATAGGAGCTGATGTTCAGAAAGGCAAATATTGGGATACTCCCCTACATGCTGCTGCTCAACAATGCAGTACAGAAACTGTAAACTTGCTGCTAGAATTTGGAGCAGATGTTAATGCCAAGAACACAGAGTTTCTGCGACCTATAGATTTAGCTACATCTAACAGTGCAGTGGAAAGAATATTGCTTCAACATGAAGGTAAGGAGATAGAGGAGAACATTTATAAACACAAAAATATATTTGCCAGAATAGTTGAAATTGAAAGGCTTTTTATTGACACGTAAAGTAATAGTGAAATATAATTTCGGATGTTTAGTGTAAAAGTAGGAAACTGGTCTCACATCTGTAATCCCAGTTACTCAGGAGGTAGAAATCAGGATTGTGGTTCAAGGCCAACAGGGAAAAAGTTAGTGAACCCCATCTCAATCAACTAAAAAGCTGGATGTGGTGGCACACACCTATCATCCTACCTTCGCAGGAAGTATGAACAGGAGGATTGTGGTCCAGGTTGGCCACTCTTCAGGAAATAAAGCAAAAAGGACTAGGACCATGGTTCAAATGGTAGAACGCCTGCCTAGTAAGCATGAGGCCCTGAGTTCAAACTCCAGTATTAACAAAACAAAATAGGTTCAGTCAATAAAGACGGTATCATGATAACTTAATTTTTTCATAATGTCTAAGTTTTCATATTGTTATGGTTAAATAAATTCAGCTTGTTTGATGATGCATAATATGTTGTTCTGACATAAAATCTTCCAGTTCATATTTTGAAACATGGCTCATTTTATAAGGGCATGCACTTTCTCCTAAAATGTTGTAGAAACATAACAAGGGAAGATTTTCACACTTAACATATTTGTACTAAAATAGAATCTGTTAAGCCTGGTTCAGAGACTATAATAAAATTTCTTTTAGCTTAAATATTAAATCTAATTTGAGGAAAACTATAATTTTAGAATTTCCATTTTTGGTAAATAACATTTCTTGGGACTTTTGATTTATATCTCCTTCAAAAAAGTGGAATTTATTTCTATGGCTTTTAATGCAACAATGATTTCATAATCCTGAAGATTATAATGTCTTAAAGAACATATATGAGTTGTATCTCAGTTATAAGATATCATAAGTAAAAGCAATATAAATTCTTATGTAAAATTTCCTAGTATAATGGACATATTAGGTTAGTTTAGTACAAAACATTATAGTTTTCATTGCTCTATTTTATTCATTTTGCAACACATAAAATTCATTTTGATTTTAATTACAAAATCATTCTTGTCTTCTTGTAGCTACTCCCAGCTCTCTTTGCCAACTTTGCCGACTCTGTATCCGAAACTACATAGGAAGATCAAGGTTTCATCTTATCCCACAGCTCCAGCTGCCAACATTACTGCAGAATTTCTTACAATATCGATAAAGCAGTAAAATAGCTCTACATTCTTGGAAAAATCAAAAATTTCTACTTCATTTGCGTAATGAATATTTCATATTAAAGTGTGCGAAAGATAGGGCAGAAATGAGTATGAGACCACCCAGGCAAGCAGTAGAATATCAATTTTCACTTTAAGTGTACTAGTTAATACTAATTTTATGAATTTTTATGTATTTGGATTATATGTTTAAAATATCTATATGTTATAGCTATTCCAATATATCCTCTTGTTAACTTAGGAAAAATTGAGGAATTCTTCATTTCAGAGTGGAAAAATTTTACTTTTTATTTAATTAGAAATTCCGTACTGTATTATATTTCAAAAGATCTGTATTCTCCAAATAATGGGTTAACTATAATTTTGGTCACTGTCATTGGTTATCTCTGTGTTTTTAATATTGATACATGCATTCAGTTTGGAAAACACTAATATGCTTTTTGAATAAAGATGATTCTCATTTTAAAAATCCACTATGTTGAACATGCACTTGTCATTATTACAATGATCAATTTAGAAAAGTCGCCCTCCTCCTTGCAAAGAACTCAAGTCATTTTATCACAGTAAATGGACCTGTGATAGAAACTCGTAGGACTAAAAGTTCACATTGAACTCTCATTCTGAGAGATAACTGCTAAGCCTATTTTAAGACCCTCTCAAGAGTGGCTTTTTCCTCCAACCTTCAGCCATTTTAGAAATTGCCAATAACTAGTGATTCCTGGACTGAAGAAAATGGACTTCATATGTAATTGATAAGGAGGCTCTGGATTACAGTCCAGGGATCAGCAGGTTGAGCCAAGGCTGGAGAAAATGGAAGATCTCCTTAAATCATGGAATTTTCAAAGAAAATAAAAAAAGAGGTCCCACTTATGAGAAAGGAAGGGTCTTGTCATCCAGTTTGAATAGCACTGCCTGGGACTATGGAGACCTTATAATATTGCCTTATCTATAGATCTTAATATCGTTGCTTCAAACTCTTTTTCCACAAAATGAGGGTTCAGAGTATACTGTATTTATGAATGATAACTAAAGAGAATGCTATATAAAACAAGATGTTACTAAACTAGTCCTCTGCAAGCGTTAATATTATTTTCTTTAGCTTTAACTGTACTTGAGTGCAAAAGAAAACATAAAACAATTTTGTACATCTTTGATAACACACTATATTTGGGGTCTAGTATAGATTTAGAAATAAAATAATCAAAATACTTACAACTCTGCATAAAGTAAAATAAACATTTTTCCCTTTGGCAGTATTGGGGGTTGAACTCTGGGCCTTGCACTCGCTACACAGGTGCTCTACCACATGAGCCATGCCACTAGTCCTTTTTTGAACTGGTTATTTTTGAGATAGGGTCTTGATTTATGGCCAGGCTAGCCTGGATCTCAGTATTCTTATTTATGCTTCTCACATAGTTGGGACGACAGGTACGTGCCACCATACCAGTCATTGGTTTTATGAAGTCTCATGAACTTTTTGCATGGATTGACCTGGAATCATGATCTTCCCAATCTCCACCTTCTGAATAGATAGGATCACAGGCTTGAGCCCCAGCACACCTGATTAAAATAAAATATTTTGATAAGTGTCATAGATTTAGTTTTGATAAGTACTTTGACCAATATATTATCAAGCCAAGATCCTATATTCCTCTCCTCTTTGTTCCTGGCTAATGTACAGAGATTATAAGCAAATAAACTGATATCATGTATAATCTCAGAGTCAGTAAATTTGCATTTGGGGAAAATAAATAAATAAAAAACAGTTATTTAGACTTTCAAAAATAGAAGTAAACAACATTAAACAATACCTTCTACATGGATAGGGACTTTTAAATATCTCAGTTTAACACATTTGTGATGTTCTCATAAACAATGTGTATTTAAAATGGATTTTTGATTTATAGAATAACTTCATTAAACATAACTAGATAATAAATCTGCTTTTTGGCAAAAACAATTTCTATTAGTATTTTTCATGAGCTACAGGTAAAATCTTGGATTGTAAAAGTACTGCAACACCTCCCTTTTCATTAGTTTTGTGTCAAATACGAGAAAAAACATCAAATATTAAAATGGACACTTAAAAACTTTTAGTATATTTGTAACTTACATGGTATGATTCTCTTATCAAGGAAGTGCTGTAATTATATGTTTGTTAATATCATAAAGTAAGATTATTAACTCATGGCATAAAACACTTGCCATTCTAAATAGTATTTTATTTTAGAATGGAAGGTAATAGAGAATATGATTCATTTGCATTGATCTTTTCCAAATCACTGTACCATGGGCATTGAGATCAGAATAGTCAAGAGCAAAAACACATACCTTAGAAGTCTTATAATTACACACACACACACACACACACACA